TTTCACTTTCCTCCTTCTGGGAACAGTGGTTACATGTATAACTCATCGTTACCATTCAGTCAGTCACTCTATATAACATACATTGACACCCCGCAAAGTCGCTGAACTAAACGCAAGGGACAAGCATCTCCACATACCCCCCTTTTAAGGGAGTGGGGAGTTGGAAAACACAACAAAAAGCTGGTGAAACCAATGCGCTTTGCTGATGCCAGTACCAACAACAGGGCAGCCTTAGATTCAAGGATTCATAATCAGGTCATGATGGCACAATTATATTTTGTAATGACCCAAAAAACGGGTGGAGAACGGGCACTTGAAAAATAGATAGTGCACATGTGCCGAAGGCATCTTTCCACCCACGCAACCAAGGAGCATACTTTGAAAGGCAACCATGCGTGAGACATTAAATTGATTAATGCAAGTGCACTGTATTGTAGCTACATATTGTATCTGCCTCCTGGCTGGGACAGAAGGTCCCTACATAGAGAAATACACCACGGTGTCCTTATGGTGTCACATTCCATGTCTTTGCTGACCAACAAGAAGCCACAAAACTCAGTGACAGGCCCGAAAACAATCCCAGATTTGTGCCAGTATTCGAGAGCGCAAATGCCAGTCCAGTGGAGACCGCAGGTTTGCGCCATATCAAATAAAACTTCACCTCGAAAGAGACTTCAGAATATTTTCTGTGCCCCGGGTGGACTGTGGCAATATGCATTGAGCAAGTCCACCGATGCAAGTCAATATCGAGGATGCAGAGGGCAGAACATGTGACATACTGCACTTTCCCTAGTCTTCAAGAGTACTTTTGCAAACGTTGGCGCAGAGCCCAACTGTGAGGTTAGCGGTCCAAGTGCATTTTGATTGTTTCAATGAGAGGCATTGTGTTACTGAACACACATTTTCCTTTACTGACAACATACTTAAAACTGAACCCGCTTTCAAAGCAACGAGAAGCCTACCATAATATGTAGTCATGTGCTTTCAACAAAATTAACTTATTTCTAAATAACAGTCAGAATTCCTCTGACAAATATCTGAAAAACAAAACATATAATTACTCTGGGAAAATCAATCTGTAAATTAAAAAATGTCCATTTTTCCAAATTTCCAAACATATTTCATGCATACTGTATGCGGTCATATGTTTTTCAACAAAAACAAATTTCTCTTTTGACTGCTTAACAGGGGTTGATGTAGCATTATCTGACGACGAACATGGATCACTCAAAAGTGTTTGTCGATGTGTTACTGACAGCGGCCAATATGTTTTCTACATAGCTTCTTACATTATACCACAATGTTCTTGTCTACCTGTTTCAAAAATGTGAAGTAATTGGAATATTTCCATTTGGTAAAACAGCCACTCACTTCTCTGCCACTTAAATTCAATATTGGTTTATGCAGAACTGTTGAACTAATTTACAGTATGTAACACAAGTACATTATAAGTAACTGTAATTAAATTACCTAAAAATGAACAGTAATCCTTTACTTTACCTTTTCAGGGGATAAGTATGGAGTCACATGCCGATTTGGGTTGATTAGGGCAGGGTCTGTGCCTAATTTCGACCCCCTGCTAAAATTATTACCCCCCTCGTTGAAGTCAGTACCTAATTGCCTAATCCCAACCCTGCCCCTAATCCTACCTCCTCTCCCACAACTAATCCTAAACCTACCAATGCTACGGGGTAATAATTTTCTTTCTTTTTTATTCAAGCAAGTAGTTTTAAAACAGGTGCTACAGCGGTGGCTGTTACTGGCTATTTAAATCTAGCAGGTATGATGTCTCGCAAATACAACAATGCTGGTAGTGACTGATTCTGTCAGACCAATCAGTGATCTGCAATTTGTTCACATCACATTTTAGTATTGGTACGGTACGCTTGGAACCTCAACTGAGGTGGTACCATTTAAAGCAAGCCGAAGCGAGCCGTGCAGTACCGTATCATGCAGTGGAAAAGTGTCATAAGAGCAGCCGCGGTAACCTTGTCGTGAACAATACATCAACACTCTTCGGCCTCAACAGTCAACACGATTGTCCCAACTCTCTATTGCCTCCAAAAACGGCGATCACAGCATCTGGATCAGCACCTGAAAACAGGAGTGGACCGTGTGTGGCTGCTGCCCCGCCGAGCACATGCTCAAGTGTGTACCGCTCAAGTGTGGAATGATAGATCTGCCGGCAGTGCACATACTGTATGCATTGGGGTTGGAGAGATCCAGCCAAGGGTGGACAATTCCAAACACACTAGACAGTGCTCTTGAGTATACAATAAACACCCATATGACATATGGGGCGAGACCTTATGTTCTCTTTTATGCCTTTTCCTTCAATATGGCGTTTTTGGACATTTTGTTTGAGAAAAGTTTATTAGCCCTTCGTTAGCAAAGCTAAACTTGTGCTAAAACATTCTCTTTTCTGCCTTAGTTTCAACAAGAACCACCACGTGGGCTTTTCTTCTCATAAAAATGCGGCGCGATGGTGTTCTAGCAGCACAATGAGGAGCTGAAGAACAAAGGGAAATAGTGCATGTAACTGCATTCATATGCTGTGGGCGGGTAACCCACAGCATATAAATCCGGATATAAATGTTGTCATGCACAATTGGCCTTTCAGGAGTGAATAAAAGTGTCTCTTTAGCAAATGGTGCAAGAGAGCGATATAACATAGTCATGCGTTGAACTGAGTGAACTAATTGAATGGGAACAGTTACTTTACTTTCACTCAGCCATTTTGAACAAATCAAATAAATGATTCAGCGACTCAATCATTAAGGCTACGTTCAGACTGATTTTAATGTGGAATGGTCAAATTGGTGGTTTCGATGTAAACACCCCTTTTTCTCATTAGCTTTGCGGTCAGTCTTGGGTTTTTTGAAGATATTTATTCTGCTGTACAGCACAATGTTCAACTACTGTTGTTTTTATTGTGCTTTATAAATAAAAGTTGATTGATTGATTGATTGAGACTGTAAGTCCAAATCACATGTAGTACAAAATTTACAAATCCGTTTCAAGCTACATTCGTATGTGGTTTGAAATCATATTCAAATGGCATTTCTGGAAATTCGTTTCAATCTGACACCTCTGATCGCATTTCGCGCGGTTTATGTTACTGCCTCACGCTACATAAAACGTAAACGTCAGACATCTTTAAAGGAAACAAGCTGAAAATCTCTGCAGAAACAAGGGTGTGTTGTTGCAAAGTGCCGGATGAGCAGAAAATGACGATATGTTTTATATATGTAACGGATACAAGTATTAAAACTGTTAGAGACAACAGCATGGAATAAAGCCACATATACCAGCCTCCTATGTTTCTGCTTCTGCCTAGTAGTAGCCCTCACATCATCATGCTGTAAATAAGAACATCTGTATTCATTGCAAACCCCATCCATGTTGCGGTTGTTGTTTTTGACGTATACCTGTCAACGCAACGTCATTGCCATAGAAACCAATGCAGATATTCCGCAAAACCAAAGAGCTGCATTGACACACAAATCAGATCTGAACTGTTGCGATTCAGTGTGGACGTCAATAATTTTAGATCAGATTCCAACCGAATTCACAAATAATCGGATTTGGACTTGCAGTCAGAACTAGCCTATGAAATCCTGCCATCTATGGCAGTTTTAGTTTCTCATTTAAAAATCCATACAACCATTTAAAAAAAAAAGATTGTATGAATTTTATGGGTTACTGCCGTGTTCGTTTTGTGTGGTTTTTGAAGAATCAACTTTGAGAGACCGATCCATTTGCATTACTCACAGGAATTTTTTTATTTCTTTAAAAATCTCAGTTTGTGTTAAACAGAAGAAAGAAAGAAAGTCAAAGGTATCTGGGATTGCATAAAGGTGTGTAAATAAAATGATCATTTTTGGGTAGAGTAAATAAACGGTTCTTTATGGTGCCGAAAACTGACTCCCCTGCTTCTCTCTACACACAGGAAAAAAAGACTTGACAGATCACATTTAATGACATTTCTTTACACGCTTAAATATCAGTTATTTAAATGGCAAAAAGTGATTTAAATTTAAAATACACAGTTACTGAATTTCTCTCATAATTGCAATTAGACCAAATAACCGCGATCAGATGATTAATCAACAATTGTTTTAGGCCTATGTGGTAGTCCATTAATGACTGTCTAATAACACTAAGAGAGATCATTCATGACTAAAGTCACAACTAAAGCGATTGGGCTTTTTGGTGTCAAAGCCAAACAATATTATCTGTCTCTGAACACTGGACACTGAGTACATAATCTATAAATACAGTAAGTTTGTGCCCTGAGTTTGTGTATGGTGCATTTTCTGCTTTCTCTAATTAGCAAAACTGTTTGCATTAATGAAGTGAGAGCATGATTACATTAGAGAAACAATGTTTGTGTGGCAATGTGGGCTTTTTGTATCCACAGTAACCTTGAGGATAATTATGACAAACTTGCAGAAAAGAAACATTCACAGCCAAGCAAATTATACAACCAAATACAGTGGAGGGAAATTATCCTTGAAGTGAATTAATTAGTGTCTGTTTCGTTAACAGACACCAAACGCTTGTAGGAAAGCTTCTTTTAAAACTGCTGAAAAACTGACAAAACCAAGAAGGTATTTGAGATGTATGACATTCATTTACATAAACATTAAACAGTGCAGTTCTCACCCAGAAAACAAAAACAGATGGGCAAAGCAGTGGAAAGACATTTCAGAACAGCCAAACATTATTATACGCACACCATATATGCCATTGCAATCTGTTTTATCATGGTTAACATTACGGATCATTTCTCATTTGTTGATGACCCACATGCAGATGAGTAAAGTGCTGATTATATTTGACAAGCAATTATCTTGAGTCCAGCAGAGTTAAAAAAAAGAAAAAAACAATTCTTACAACAGCACTTTTATTCTTTAATGCAACGAAAAAGGAAAGAAAAAGTGATTTATGACTCGCAAAGAGGGCTGAGTGAACTATGAAGGGATGGATAGGAGACTCACACAGGTCTGCAGATGACCAGATCTCCTTTGTTGGTTCCATAAGCAAGCCCAAGCCCCGGTTCTGGCAGCCAACGTGCAGAATTTATACTGACATGTCTCCGCTGGTCTGGGGCCATTGGATACACCACATCAAACACCCTCTGAAAAACATACAAGAACACACCTGTTTAACCAGTCCCACAGCCCTCTTAGTACTTTCACTCATTCTATCAGTCACCAGAACCTCCCATTATCCTCTCCGCTGTAGACTGCAGTCTGTGTCAGATATGACAAGCACTGCTAGCATAACTGAGGAGAGGCTAAACTGTGAAAAGTCAAATCTCCTTCTCCAAAGTACTCTTTCTCTTTTCTTCCGATCCATTCCCCTGTCCCTGTCTGTCAGCCTTGGCATACTACTTACACTCCACTGGCTCTAGAAAAAAGGACAAAAATAGGACAAGTTCATGTCTGCCAGGGAAAGAGAAAGCGGTCTCATTCATCTGCAGATGAGTGATCAACAGACAAACTCTTTCTCTCTCACTTTACCCTAGACGGAGAAAATTCAGGACAAGGATAAAAGCCACAAAGTACACTGTTCAAACAGTGTATTTAAAGAAATAGTTCACTTCAAAATGAAAATTATGTCATCATTTACTCACCCTCAAATTGTTTCAAACCTGTATGAATGTCTTTCTTCTGCTGAACACAGGAAGATATTTTGAAGAATGTCGGTAACCAAAAAGTTGATGTACCCCATTAACTTCCATAGTAGGAAAAAAAAATACAATGGAAGTCAATGGGGCACATCGACTGTTTGGTTACCGACATTCTTCAAAATATCTTCCTGAGTTCAGCAAAAGAAAGACATTCATACAGGTTTTAAACAACTTGAGGGTGAGTAAACGATGACAGAATTTTCATTTTGAAGAGAACTAATACTTTAAAGGAAGAAAGACCACATGGGCATATAAACAGCATTATAAGCTTAAATATTAAGTTAAATATTACACTGCTCATAAAACAACTAACTGCAAGTTTTCAATCTAAAAAATCTAATATGTAATCACATGTAAGCACTACTAGAGAACATTGGCAGGTACTGTAAATGGCATGACCAGTAACGTTACTATTCTATGAAATTGATTACTACATAAAAAAAAAAATTAATATGTACAAAAAGTTGTTCAAAGCTGGAGACAGAGCCTTGGGCTAACCTTTGTTCATTTTCTTTCTCTCCGCACTCCAGTGTATAATTAATGCTGGTAATAAGCAGACACATTAACAATGCTGATATATTAAATTCATTCATTAACTACCATATGAGTAGTCAAATAAACAAACAAAAATGCCTACTCTAATAAACAAAGACAATCAAATCACATAATATAAAATGATGAAAACTAATGAATAAACATACTGTGAATGAGAAACGTCTCTATAAACAAACAACCAAAAAAGGTTAAATGTATTAAATGTGCTGTTTCTATAGTTACAGCTGAAATGAGGCACACTGTGAGGACGTTGCTATGGCAAATGTATGTAGTGGTTAATATGTATTTTGCACCAGTCCACGTTTTCCCCCGTGATTCATAGCAGAAGCCTGTTGTCGTTTTTACGGTGCTGGTGTTTTACATTCACATAGTATCATTCAATACATTCATTCAAACATTCATTAAATATAGATATATTTGAATTTCTTAAAAATAAATCAGTTGTACACTTTACTACATGTAACATATTTTTTTCTGCCTTGTGTTCTTATTGTGACCTACACTTAAAAAGGTGTTTTTTTCTTTTCTTTCTCACAAAATCTTGAATTTTAGATTGTTCAACAGCATACACAGAACCTGAGCTCCTACTTTAACTTAATCTGACAGTTCAAATGGTTTTGGTTCATGCAGCTTCTATGGTGATGTTTAAGGCCTCCATAAGCAGTACAAGAAACTTACAGACAAGTCTCATTTCAGTCTCACATTCAATGCAGAGAGAAAATTTAAAGCTGCAGTCTGGTGTTTGTCGCCATCTCTGTTCGAAATCTGCAATTGCAGTCATTCGCGGAATTATCAACTTTACGTGAGCTGTGCTTCAACACCCTCAACACAGCACAGCGCAGATGAACACAATGTTTGAGGAGAGTGTGAGGCTGTCAATCCCCACGCCGGTGTGGATACTGACATTCAGAATAACAGATTATTATTTTTGGAAGTATGACCAACATAAGAATTTTAACCGGAAAATGTGTCATCTAGTAAGAAACTTCCACTTTTGTTCTGGCTCTGACATTTCAGTAAATCGCGCTGATTAAATCTAATAATCGCTTATAAGTTATCATGTCAAGCAAAACCATGCAAATTATACGTTGTTCTCAAATTGTTAATGTTAACAACGTCAGCATTGCGTGACTACATGTAATGTCCTTCCGATACGTATCCTTGTTTTCTCATGGGTCGGTTGCAGTCTCTTTTTTTCTGTAGCCACTCCGAAGTCCGAACGAAGTCTTCTGCATTTTACAGCGGGTGAATCTGTTGTCACTGGTGATTGTCGTTTGAACCTTTCTGTATCTGCCATCAAATTAATTAAAAGTTAAATTATATCAAATGCTTTGACACAAGTCTATAAATCTCCACCTCCAACATCCTCACTAGCAATACAGCTTATACTAGCCGAGACCTCTTTTATGTGTAGAGATGTGAGGTAATGACGCAAAGACATGCTAAAATCTCCCGCGGAAATTTACCAGTACCACTGGAATTAGAAACATTATTACAAGCTTACCACTTTGAATCGAGCTAAGGCAAGCAGATAGCACTGAACACTGGCTGGTTATGTATTTTCTCAATAATGTATTTTGGATATTTTTTAACCCAAAAAAATCTATGGACTGCAGCTTTAATGAAAGGAGACCTGGAAAAAATATATCACACAGAGATGTGTGAAAGGCTGACAGTCAGGAGACCTGTGGAGTTCAAAGACTCCTCATTATCACATATAAGACATAACATAACACTATTGCATTGTCCATTTCATTAAATTACCTTTGGTAGTGATATACAATAAGCATTAGAGCTGAGAAAGAGTCCCTGAGTGTCATTAAGAGAGACTGAATTAATATATGGGTTATATTTTAAACACAGCTCTAGCAGCAATAACAAGGGTACTAACTTATTTTAATGCATCACCGTTTCTGATAAACACAAAGGCATTAATGTAAGCCTAATTAAGAGGAGCCTTCAGATTTATCATACAAATTAGGCTCAGCATGAAACACAAAGCTAAAGTGGGGAGTGCTGGTGAAATAACACCAAAACACCCATGAAAACCAACAAGCGCTCACTGAACGGCTTTCCAAACTCTGCTGAGAGATTTGGTGTTGTATGTTTAGAGACTGAACAAGGATAAAAATGAAGCTCTCCTGCTCCATCGCTCTCAAATTAATCCACGTTCAGAATCCTGCCATGAGCACAGCTTACAAAAACAAAAGTCAACCATGTAGATATTTCCATTTATGCCCTTCGCTCCACACAAATACACAGTTTTCCCACTTCTCTCTCCCTCTCTATTTCTAAGAGAGCGTATCTAGGTCAGGTTCCTACTCAAAGGCTTTTCTAAACGCCAGGCTCCCCCCTCTGCTATAGAGAGCACAGAGAGCTGATCTACATAGGGCAGCGGCAGTCCACCAATAATATCCAAGCTTCACAAAAATCAAATGTCGTGAAAAGAATAAATAATTTGACTAATGTAAAAAAGTAAATGGGTTTTGTGGCCCATCTGGACTCTCCACCAAAATGGATAGTAAAAATTTTTAGTTTAACTGAAAAAGAAACAATAATACACACAGACACAAGCCTCCCAGCAAACATTAGAGAATGTCCCACTTATTGCACATTTAAAAAGCATCTTAAACAGTTTCTTAAAAGTTCCCAGTTATGTCTTCATTTTGTCTAATTTTATTGATGAAATGCAATTTGCCTGAATACGTGTCAATATGTTTCTTGACTGATACTGTATATTGTCATATTATCATTTTGTGGTGTTGTCTTCCTGCTTTTGCCTTTATTATTTTATTACACTGAATAGACTGACAGAAAAGTGCACAACCTACATAGGAAGGCAATTTGTTTTAAAGCAAATAGTAGTTTTCTTTGCTTTTTATTTCAATGAGTATTGAGAGCAGTGGCAGTCTCTAAAGAAGACGTGAGGTCAGATGTTACGTACCCTCATGGACGTCTCTCCTCCGTGGGGCTGCTGCAGTCTGAAGACCTGCGCCACCATGTGATCGGTGATCTGATGCAGCAGGATGCGACGAGATGCCAGAGCCACCATCACGTAACGACCCATCGGAGACAAACTGACAGAGATGGCATTTGGACCTATGACAAACACACAGTGTAGATATTCACAGCTGTATCAAGACAAACAGAGACAATCTAATACAGAAACATCGACTTAAGACTACAGTCTAAGCTAAACAATTGCACAAATTAGCACAATTATGTTAAGTAATAAATTCGACAAGAATGGGTTGCAGGGTTGTATTTGGTCTTACATTTTTTGTGCTAAACCAACAATACAATAAACAAATAAAACTGGGTGAGCTGGGTGAGCAGTATTTAAACTATAACAATTACTAAGTACACTTAAAAATCATAGCAGTAAGCCTGATGTAAAAACTAAACTAAAATTATGAAAATCCAGGAAATGCATTTTGAAACTATTAATACTAATACATTCATTTTGCACATTATTAATTGCTGTAAATGTTATAACCAGAGCATTCAGACTTTTAAAGCATGAAATTAGAAATGTTCACACCTAGACCTGCTCAGACTGTAATTATAGCTGATATAATTTCTCATCTTAAAACGTAATTGAATTTTGTAGCCATTTTAACTGTAGAAATCAGTCTTGCTTGGCATGTGCATGAGCTAGAGAGCCAAAGAGTGCTGGCGATGTGAGCAAATGAAAACGAGTGGTTTAGTATTGAGGCTTCCTGGTTGATTGCTTTCATTATTTCACTGTTACTGGATAGGATCAATGATAGTTCTTTGAGACCTGTACAGCCGATGGGGATGATCAAGCCGCAGAGAGAGGGAGAACAGATTTTCAAATCAGCTTAATCTAAAACAAGCAGGACTCATACCTCCTCATCATTGGTTTCCATTAGCAGCCTGGTCCCATCCCGCCTTCATTTCGCATTTAAATGGGGACTATCTAATTAAAGCTGCATCTAAAAGAGCTCCATCACTGCTGTCTGTTCTGATGGCTCAATCAGTGTATTAAACCCTAATAACCACCAGTGATGGGAATAACGGCATTATAAATATCTGGTTATCTTGTAATATAATGTTATCTTTCTCAGTAATGAGTTACGAATTACTGTTTATGACAATAAAAAGCAGCGTTACTATAGCCTAATTGAGCTCACTGAAACGGTTTCCATCTGAGTAGGTTCTCCATCATAGGACCTGCAATGTTTTTTCTCTGGTGTTGTGCGTGTGTGTTTATGAGGCGCCGGACTGGACACGCCTGAAGCGAACGCCACGAGCACGCTCGACAATGCGCGAGATACAGTGTGTCCGAGAGCGCACTCGACTGCGCGAGTGTGTCCGAGCATTATACAGTTTGTTTATAAATAAATTACAAATTTCAGCATTAGAATAATCTCCGTAGCCTATTGGTTTCATCTGCAACGTTTTAATTAATTAAACAAATAAAATCTAAAAAAAAACGTTCTGGGAATTCGGGTTCTGGGGCACTCCTTGTTAAACTGTTTATCATTTTAATTTTCACTACAAAGAGTGTATGTATATTTTTTTATTATTATTTATTCATTTTTGGTACAATTAAGCATACTTTATTTTTAAACTTTTTTTGTTGACCAGTTGTGGTCTGTGCAATGTTAAATATTAAAACTTCTAAACCTAAACCTAAAATTATGTTTTATTGTTCTGCTATAGTAATGATAATATTTAAAATAATATATTGAATTTTATAGGTGTCTCTCTCACATCGTCCCACAGCAACATTACGATAGTGTAGATTAGTGTCCAAAGTTTTATACTAATAATTTATTCCATAGTGTCCATTTACGTGTCCAACATATTTAATATTGGGTGCATCCAAGTCATTTGACATATAGGCCTATTTTAAATTATTTTTTTTTTAAGTAATGCAATAGTTACTTTCCCTGGTAATTAGTTACTTTTATAATGATTTAATTCAGTTACTAACTCAGTTACTATTTGTGAGAAGTAACTAGTAATAACTAATTACTTTTTTTAAGTAATATGCCCAACACTGATAACCACAGGGAGGCAAGTCAGGTTTACACAAACCAACAGCCCTTGTCAAGTCAAGCAGTTTATGTCTCAGGGTTACTCACCAAATCTCTTGGAGTAGAGCATCTCTCCCAGGTTGTGCGGGGCGAGGGAGTACACAGCCAAAATGCCCTCATCAGGGAAACCCCTCTGACTGCTGGGAATGAATACAGCTAGCAGCTGCCCATCTGCTGAGATGTCACAGCTCGCATCATTGTAGATCTTACAGTTGGGCACCAACACGTTAACAGAAGCTAAAAAGAAAATCAGACACAAGAGTTGAAATTAGGTGTGGATTGATATGGAAAATGTGTCTGGTAATGATAGCGTATATTTGTCCAATTTTAGATATTAATCTAAAGACTGAAAACTAAAACTCTAAATTTCTACATGCTTCAGAAGACAGAGGGAGTGGAAAAATGCTTTAATTTCAAAATAGACACAACTATAGAAAACAATAATTTTTAAAAAAAATATTGCTTTTAGTATCCCCATTTAACTTTATTACTTGTAATAAAGTTAAATGGGAAACCTAAAAGCATAATAACATGTAAATATGTCTTCTATTTTAGGAGGACCATTTCATAGTCACAAAATTGGCTTCATCCTGCATCCTGTCATAAGTCATAAGCAGCATCCAGCATTTCAATTTAATCTATATTATTTTAGTTTTTTTCCCCAAAAAAATTACGATACCACAACAAAAATGTCAATAATAATATGAATATTAGGGTTTAAAAACCTATTTGCGGAGGCTTGATGTTGGAGCAAAGGAACCTAGCCAGTTTGGACCTCAGCAAAAATGATAAAGATAAGCAACAGTTACAACTGCCAGGATTTCTATTGACATATACTGGATGAGAATTGCTCTGCTTGAAGCTGCCAAATCCTGAAAAACAGCCGACAGGTTTAAGATGAACCTGTAAAAATGCACATAATCTTTGTATACTCTGAAACAGTAGCATAGCCTAGTCACTGCTTAAGGACATTTATATTCAATAAAATCAATTCAGTAGAATGAATGTGTTCCGTGTTATATCACTCGAACCTGCACAAATTGAGTGCCCGTCATACAAAGCCAGTCACGATGAATACGTTATAAAGCTTATTGCCAATTTCAAGCATATTATCATCCAAAAAATATTCTAAAAATAGAATTTATCTAACATAAATCAATATTTAGATAAATCTATTATCACTCTCATACGTGCCCCCCACTGTCCCACAAAATCACGTCTGCTGACCTGCAAAAGAGCAACAAGCAGATGGTTACTCTAATCTATTTTTGTTTAATAATAGGTAGGCCAACTAGAAATAATGTGCAATCCCATTATCATTAGAATATTAACTTATTAGCTCTAATACATCACACTTATAACCCAATACCAATTTAATCACCAAAGTATCATGCATCCAAATCATCTCATATATTAGTCCAAATAGTCCAAATCATCTCATACATTACTTAATTTAGCTTGGAGTGGTCTATGAAAAAACAAACAAACAAACAAACAAAAAAAAGCAGCACTTTGTGTAAAAATCTTTTTGCTAAATTAGCAGAAACGGCAGTACTACTATAAGTTGAGCCCCAATAAAAGTGATTTAGCAACGTACAGACAGCCCACACTCATGAATAAGAAAGGCATAGTGGCAGAAGAGAGAGAGACATCTGCATGTACCCTTCTTATTTCTCCATTCCACACACACACACACACACACACACTGCTTCTAGGACTACTATTCTGCCGAGGAGGCAGCGATTTTGTTTTCCTTCTCTGGGAACCACATGTCAACTCCAAAATTAAATTTGATTTCTGTTTTCATTTTCTGTTATACACATAGTATAATCCTTTACTGTTTCCATGGCAATTTGCATCCCGATGAAGCTATCTCTCAACACACAGAATGGTAGTATAATTCGAAAAACAAACTCTGTGTAAACACAGAGATATTAAAAAACAGACAGTTGATTCAAAACAATTGTTCAGATGAAGCAAACGTATTCCAAGCATTACTGGAACAATAACGCGCTGCTCTGGTCTCATACATCAACGGATGTCATTGAGCAGAGGTCTCTGAATAAAGCATCAGGTGCTTGTGTGTGGGAGGTGTAATTAGGGCTATTTGTATTTTAGAATGTGAGCGTGTGATTGAAGTGTTTGTCATTTCCCAGGAGAGTGAGTGTGCGTGCAGCGGGTGACACTGGAAAACATGGATAAACAAGAGCAGGTGAGTTTTGGCAGGTGAAAGAGTCATTATGCCCATTTAGAAAGATGGATGTTTTAATCACCCACTGTGTGTGTGTCTGTGTGCATGTGTTCACTGAGTAAGGTCAAGAGAGTCTGAGAGGACAGGAGAGAAGATTTAAGCGCGAGTGTGTTAATTAAACAGAGCAGTAATTTATTGCAGTTATGAGGCTGCTGTCGGGCAGGAACACACACACACACACACACATCATGATCACTTAAGCCCACTCATACAATGCAGGCCAAAAGGAGCAGGGAGACAGGAAGAGGGAAATCGGTTCATGATAAAATACACACATACAAAATAATAATAAATAAATAATAAATCCTTACATACAGCAGAACAAATAGTGTAGAAAACTGGCTCAGGGAGACACTTAAAAAAAGACAACATTGCCCTTAAAGCTACACTGTGTAACTCTTTTAGTTTATTCTTAGCTAAAAACACTTAGTTCTTTCAAAAATTTATGTGCTCATAATCTATATTTACTTCGTTCAAGTAATAAAGTATTCTCGTGAGTGTATTATAGGCCATTGAAAATACATACGGGTAAGGGGTTCTAATGTCGGTGTGAAACTACATAGGCCAAAGAGGGACATACCCGTTAATTCAAGCTTCGCCTTTCGCGTTTACGTTTGAGTTAACACTCATGGACGAGGTCGAACTGGAAGCCATGTTAATCTTGGACTACATTGGCCACTGTAGGAGTTAAAATGAAATCGGCATTGAGAGGAACAGAAACTAACATTCACTGGATGGTCATATAACTTTTCACAGCTAGACGGGGGTAAAAATCACACAGTGTAGCTTTAAAGACTTAAATTCAAATCGAGAGCTGGATAGTTTTGTTTCCATTCATGTTTAAAGCACATAAAAGAAATCAAGTACAATCTCATATGCCTCTCGCTATGATGAAAGCTAAATGAAATTACAACTCTTGTCTTATACTAGGAGAGGGTCAGAAGGGCAGGTTGTGTAATGGTGAGAGTCTGTCCACACTGCTGGATCCACAAGATGGATAAGTGTATTTAGATGTATAAGGTCCACAAGATGGATAAGTGGCTCACTGCTTCAGCAGACAGAGCTCCCTACTGGATCCGAGGAATACATTTGCCGAAGTAAAGTAACAGCTATTCCGGTGACACTACGAGGGAAGCACAGACCATTCCCATATGAGATAAAGTCCGTTTAATCATCTATTTTTGTGGACACAAGGGTGTACAAATGTTCTTTAGGATTTAGATTGGGTTTGCGGCTGACACTGAATGATAAACGAAGCGCTCAGGACTCCAGCTGCTATGGACAGAGCATCTGGACAACTGAAATAAATCATGCTTTTACAGGCATATTTATACTGGATCCATTCCATCGACCTAGCCAATGTACCCAGACTGTACATTCTCTGTCATCTGCAAAACCACTCTGTCTGAAACTACAGTACAAAGTCATCAAGCAGTTGACAGACAAAAGTGATAGGGATTTCCTGGTCATAACTTCTGCATAGGAGCTTGGGAAATGTGTCTGATATGTCTGTCTCTCTTGTCACAGACTAAATGAGCAAACATTTGAGACAGGGATAAGTAACAGATTCAAAGAAGCAGTGGATTAACACATCAATAGAAAAACAAACATCCAGAATATTCTAGTTTCAAGGTCAACAAATAGTGAGTACACAAACATTCATAAAAACACATCCCTCTTCCATCTTCTCATAAACAACACAACACCACAAACAGTTGTCAGTTCAAGTGTCAATTACGATCACTGCACCTGAACACTAGAAAAAAAGTATAAGAGAAACTGAAGTATAACTGAAGAAGAAACAAAGAAAGTTGACAGATTTTATGTTTGAGGTTAATCCCAAGAGTGCAGAGGTTGCTCAAATTTTTACATACAAGCTGGTTTTAAAAGGGTCATATAATGGTACATGAACTTTTTCAAGTAACTATTCATGTCCCTGCTGCACCTCCAGAAGAAGTGAGGGTAAAATTTTATTAACCTTTATATTAATCTTTGCAAATCGCTAAGGTTTACATTCAGGGTACATTACGGCATGTTTTCTATGTTTATAATGAACAACGCGTTATGGTCATTGTGTTATTACAAACTGAGTACATATACATCAGTAAACACATCGTGTTTGTAGATCTCACTAAGTTACTTTAACATCACCCTGCCAGTACACAAAGATAAATCAAAGTGAAATTATGTTAATCAACCATTCAGAAACTGTCATCTTGTTCTGGGTCCGACTCTGGTTCAAATAGATATGGTTGCTCAGACGTGTCCTCAGAGACTGCCGCTGCCATTCTGTCTCCAAAATATACCCTCAACAGTTGTCACGGCAACACTCCATGTGTGTTGTGTCAAAACGTCCGCAGAACAGAGGGGCGGAGTGACTGAAGCTCATTATCATTTAAAGGCATATGCACTGAAACGGCGTGCTGAAAACAGAGCTGTTTTTGACCAGGTAAAATTTGTGTTTTCTTACAATACTAATGCACATTTTTTATTAAAGTAAATTACAAACTTTTCATTTAGACCCTAATGAATCAAATTAACTTACATGAAAATTACTTGGTGACTTGGTGGCACTCACAAATGGAGTATTTTTGTAAGCAACAGCGAATAGCAGAGGTAGAATCTGGAACTAGCTCTTTTGTCACTGTACTCTAGTATTTGGTGTTATTTCATAAACACCATAATGAATACAAAAATCTGAACCTGAAATTCTTCTCTGTGAAAACCGGGTGACAGAAAAGTTACGGATCATTGAATCAAAATAACTAGGTTATATTTGCTTTTTTAAAGTGTCATCTATAGCCAGAGAGTAAATCTGCATTTTAATTTATCCGGTCTGGTCAAATTTTCTTCATTTGTGTTGGTGTGAATGGGACTTAAGACAACAATCGATATGCATGAATTGCCAAATGATGCATTATGGAGGCTTGTACTACACATCAATAACATCCATTCAGTGGTTCATCTCAAATTACCAGCCAGCATT